GGGTCTAGTGTATTCCAGGAGTCGAACTTTGTTGACTCCCACCACCGTATCCTGTACTTCTCTATGCGCAGAGTGGGTCTAGTGTATTCCGGGAGTCGAATTTTGTTGACTCCTTACATGTAACATGGAGGGAGCCGATTCCAAAGAATATTCTGGCGAAATTGAATTTTGTTTTCACCGGAATAAGAGAGTATGTGCGGATGGCAAAATTGCAGATGGCTGATGCAGACACCAGTATGGCATGGGAATTGCCTTTTTACATGGGTCTGGCCAACGTTCCAATATCGTTAATTGTTTTTTTTTATCAACACATTTTAAACAGTCGAGACATTCTACAATTGTGAGTAGCTACATACCGTCGTTAGAGGTCACTTCATCTGTTCACATGGGCAGAGTCATGAAATGTAGAGCAATAGAAAAGCAGCAGAAAACAGAGCAGTGGAATGATCAGAAAACTATCAATCGATTCTTGTTCAACTATTGGTAGAAAGCTGTTGACTGCTTAGCAAACACATTAATCAGGTCTGGTAATCGATTCTTGTTCAACTATTGGTAGAAAGCCGCAGACTGCTTAGCAAATGCATTAATCAGGTCTGGCAATCGATTCTTGTTCAAATGTTGGTAGACTATTGAGGACTACATAAAAATGAATATTTTGATTCGATCTTGGCTATATGGGGTATATGGTGCTCCTCACTGAGACTTGCTGCCATGACTGATCAACAGACACCCCTTACATTATCCTCGTGTCTATTTTCCCGTTCTGTTCAACATGAGGGCGATGCGTACAGGCATTGGCCGATTTCCTGCATTATAATAATATTATAGGTGTATGTAGCGTTCATGTGGGCATTATTCCAAATTCATGGATGTACCGTAAAACCTGTAACTAAAGACCACCGTGACTGGTGACCAGCCTGGTACTACCGACCACTTCGCCAGGCATGGACGGTCTCACGTTCATAATAATTATGGTTGTGCGGCGCAAACCTTTAACTAAGGACCACCTGCCACAAAAGACCGCTTTTTTCTTTCCCTTTTTTACAATGATCACAGCTCACAGGCAAAGACAAAAAATGCATAATGCGAGCATAGTGATGGTGAGGCTTTTTGACCTCAGCCGACCTCAGGTCTCGACGTCATGGGGACATAAAACGCACCAACTCTGGACCCAAAGGGTGGTCGCTAGTCACAGGTCTTACTGTACACCTTTGTATATCTACGATGCTGCTCGATAAAATCCGATCAAGTTAGACAAGTATTCATCCTAGGCCTGCGAACACTGGCCTCCGGACAGTGGTGGGGGGCGCTGACTTGACGAACCCGTTCACTGAGCAGCGCTGAGCAGCACTGGACAATGTCATTCGCAGGCTTTCGGCGGAGGAAAATGGCATGTCTCTACCCAGAGTCCTTTGTCTCCTGATGCCAGCCTGGAAGCATGAATACCTGAATAGAGATGCACTGGATTTTCTTCCACTAGACCGTGTGTGTATGTGAAAGCTCTGGAGTACTGACCAGTCAGTACCGTCATTAAGCGCTCTGACTTGTTGTCAAGGCCACCTTGTGTGCTGCAAGACCAGATATTTTACCGTCAATTAAAGTCAACGATCTCCGGATTTTTGTGGGTTAGCGAGGTGAAATTCTGACGAATTCCGCCTCAAAACCGGCAAATGACAGTACATGCACATAGTTTTCTACATAACGACTTCAAAATTATAACGGGTTTTTTTAATTTGTTAAATCGTTAGATACGCGAGAGCTTGGAAGCTCAGGGCCCTACGCTATGCTTTTTTGCCTTGATGACCTAGACAAAAAAAGCATAGGGATGTTATAAATTCTTATAAGTTTCTACTTTTTGTTTTTAGACATAACCTGGGATTCGAACCCGCACTATCGCCCTGCATGCATCCCCGATACACTTCGCATACATACTAATTCTTCCAAGTTGCTTCACGTTATGATCTTGTATTTGAAAGCCCTATTTGAATATGCATTGTGGCCAGCCGTCTTTGATTGTACGGTACGGTACGGGATAGGTACGGGACAGGTACAGTCGAGGGTAATAACACACCGTCTACCGCCTTGATGACGGCAAAAAAAGAAAAGGGATGTTATAAATTTTCAATTTACCTTTTTTTTTCAGGCATCACATGGGATTCGAACCCGCACTATCGCCCTACATGCATTCCGCCATACACTTCGCATTCATACTTATTCTTCCAAGTTTCTTCACGTTATGATCTTGCGTTTGAAAGCCCTATTTGAATATTGCGGCCAGCTGTATGTGGCCAGCTGTGTTTGATGGTACGGTACGGTACGGGACAGATACGGGATAGCGCCAGGCGTGACACAAACACACAAACAAACAAACACCAAATTAAAGCTGTGTGGACCCTGGCTAGTGCCAGACGTTACTGAAGTAACGTCTTCTGCATAGCTACGGGAATAAATGTTCATTAAGGTTCCTGGTCTTACGGTATATCGTTAGAGTTCATTTTGATCAGTAGAATTGCTCAAGATGGGGAACCTTAAACCACTTGTCTGCGGCACACTCCCTCTTATTGTCATCAGTTTTAATCTCAGAAAAGCCCATTGACACGTCTATCCCTGTTCTTAGCTCCTTCTCCACTGCCGTGTCGTTCTCGCGCACAGTACTGTCGGGCGCCGAAGAGCGGAGCGCCGAAGACCGACCAGCCTAGAAATTCACCAAGCGCAGCATACTATTGTGTACACAGTGCCTCAACTATGTATAGACGATAATACACTTAAAATTAATAAGAATGATTTAGGCTAGGAGGCTGATACCCAGGTTCTTCAAGGACCAACAATACTGTGTTCAATATCTAGTTACTACGGACTGTACCGGCGGAGGAATTGCTCCGGTGAATATCTCCGAGTTCATGGCAGGCACCACATCTTCGTCTGCAAGCACATTGCAACCCAGGAAACATCAGTAGTAAGGTTAATCATACTGGGTGAGAGTGCCAGCACAGTACGCTGTACAGCAAATTCACAAGTCATGAAGCTCTGGGCCATTCTACCTTAAAATTTGAACCGATTTTAGACACAAATCTATTCTTTTGATTTGGGCTATTTGGGTTGCTTGCTTGTAAATCCACGGTGATAATTGGGCGTGCTAAACCTGGCAGTGTTTCATAAATTCTGACTGAAATCCAACTTCCTTCTAGGTTCACTCCCCATAGTCAAGAATTGGAAGGGAAGTGCCCAAGCCCATTCTCCCAGGTCAGAAGTGTTTTTAGAGAAGGAGGCAGGGGAGGGGGAGTTCTTAGACAGGAGGGGGGGGGGGGGGCGCAGCACCATTCTCTCACACCGATAGGCAATACCCTAGCGTGAATCTTACATACCAGCTGGTTCTTCCAAGCCATTAACCTTTATCCTCCCATTGTTCCCATATGGGAACAGGTCTTCACCAGCATTGTCTGTAAAAAAACCAGAATGAGTCAGCAAAAACCCCAAATAGGACAAAACACTGATACAGTGAAGTGGACAGTCCTGACCTGAATCAATCGATTTTGCTCTTTAAATGGTGGCGAAAAAAGTCACTCCGCCTCCCACATGGAAGTTAATTAGAAGCCACATTTTGCAGAGAGTCATCTCAATGGAGAGCATTATAGGAGGGTGCATTCTTTTAACTTCATTTTTTCACATTTCAAATCCACAACCTCTCTTTCCGAGGCTGCATTGATAATGTAACAAAGTGCAAATGCACTTCATGCTTCCCACTCCAGGATTATTATTTTTTTCTCCCTGCCTTGCCGTGGTTGGCTAACACCCTCTCTCTTTGTATTGGCCGGTGTTCTCACTGTGCTATGAGATACTGTAATAAATAAATATAATAATAAATAAATTAAGAACTGGAAGAAGACAAGGCTTTAGGGCTGTACACCGGTATGCAAGAGAAAATATCTTAGATCAAAAATGCACCACTAGTCTTGGAAGAGTGTTTACTGCGCCAGGTCTGCTGTGGGTTTTTTACACCTTGCATACAATGCATGGAACATTTGAGAAAAACGTATTGCTTGCGCCATGCATACAGTTAACTTTGCGTATAACGACACTCAGCGGGGTATCAGAAAAGTGGCCTTACTCGCGAAGTGTCGTTATACCCAAAGTCTCATTATATGTATTACAGTTAGATGGGACTTTGCGCTGGACATGGAAATTCTGTCGTTATTCGCGAATTGTCGTTATATCTGCAGTCTTTATTAGTGAAGTTGACCGTATCGACTTACCAGGTACACCATTAGGTGGTGGCAAGTTGTCCAGCAAGTCAGCAACAGAAATCTCTGTGTAGACAATGTACAGGGGAGGTAGAAACAGTGCAGAACATAGATCACCATGTCACTTCAACGGCTCAAACAGTGCTCACACAGTGCTCAAAAACCCGTGCTTTCATAGCTCAAACAGTGCTCAATACCCGCTTTTCCACTGGTAAAACAAGCCCTGGAGTTCTGACCGGTCAGCATATGCATTGAGCCCTCCGACCTGTGTTCGAGGCAACCCCTGTTCACACCCCCAGTGTTCCATTTGGTCAATACAATTGCTCGAAGAGCCTGCCCATGCACATACGCGCCTGCACATACCAGGGGCGGGAGTGGATGGCTCCAAGATCCTGGCTGGACCTTCGCCAGAAGATAGCGGGGCTTGTTCTGAGAAAAGAAAAAGGAAAGAAACAGACAATAAATAAGATAAATTGTGCACTCATAACAAACAGCAAAAATGAAAAAAGTCAAGTTCCATAACGTTTTCTTGTGACTGTCATCAGTGGAACGCCGTCACATAAAAATGTAATAACTAAAACACACACTTATATACATGTAGCTAATATGGTTTCAGGTAGAAATACAGCAGCTAACAAGTACAAAAAGCGAAGTTTGCACCTTTGCAATGTGTGAATATAGTGTATGTGAGAAAGGTAGTGGCAGATGAATGTGATACTGTGTGAATGAATGTAATGGTGCGTGTGTATTACTTGAAGAGTGTGAGTGATACAACGTTTTCTTTCTGTTTACATAGCACAGGGTCACGAGTACGAATATACACAGCTTCCAACACCTGCAATTGCTTGAAGAAACGTGCGCAACGAATAACACTAAACCAGGAATCGTCAAACACCTTACGACATTCTGGACTGGACACCAAATGCTTGTACACTGCAGACTTCCTCTTGTCAACAGTAGTGATGAGGAGGAGTTTGATGTTGACAAGAGGAAGTCTGCAGTGTACAAGCATTTGGTGTCCAGTCCAGAATGTCGTAAGGTGTTTGACGATTCCTGGTTTAGTGTTATTCGTTGCGCACGTTTCTTCAAGCAATTGCAGGTGTTGGAAGCTGTGTATATTCGTACTCGTGACCCTGTGCTATGTAAACAGAAAGAAAACGTTGTATCACTCACACTCTTCAAGTAATACACACGCACCATTACATTCATTCACACAGTATCACATTCATCTGCCACTACCTTTCTCACATACACTATATTCACACATTGCAAAGGTGCAAACTTTGCTTTTTGTACTTGTTAGCTGCTGTATTTCTACCTGAAACCATATTAGCTACATGTATATAAGTGTGTGTTTTAGTTATTACATTTTTATGTGACGGCGTTCCACTGATGACAGTCACAAGAAAACGTTATGGAACTTGACTTTTTTTCATTTTTGCTGTTTGTTATGAGTGCACAATTTATCTTATTTATTGCCATTTTACGACTATTGTCTCCTCGTCGATTGTTTGAAAGAAACAGAACGTACACAATTGGAACAAAAGGCAAGTGAACAGAATTGTTTATCGAAAGATTTCGTGAACGAAAATTAGTACTTATATAGTAGTGAGAACACATGTACATACCGAAGGAGGTGGTAGATGGCTGCAAGTTGCCTCCAAGACCTTCGCCGGAGGAAAGTGGTGATTCTTCTGGGAAAAGCAGAGCAAGCAGAAACTAGTAAGTTGACAACAAAGCCGATTGGTCGACTGATTCACTTCATTTGGAACAACAGACGTTTATCATGCAAGTGTCCATTCCCAATGCGTACTGAATTCCAAGATTTTTGTAATCAGGCTCTGTCAAGTGCGTGAAGAATTGCTACCCGCAGTCAAGGATCATCTTCACCCAGTGAATACGTAGCATTGTCCAGCAAAGTAATGGAAATTAGTTAGCTTGAAGTGAACGTTTGCCTTGTCAATGTGCTTCCTAACAAGGTTCGAGTGCATTGCATGGCAGTGGGACTGTACGTGCCGTATAATAATCATCATCATCATAACAATAACAGCTCGCATGCACCTCATGGGTGAGACCACCCATTGGGCCAACGCATCTGTCGGTAAAAGAGTTAGAGAAATAGAAACGAGAATTACATGTACACCCCCATCCCCTCCATTCTGTTATTGCAAGGAAAACTGTGCATGGCATATAAGATTAGACATGCATCACTGCTCGACACCGTACATGGCTCCAGCAGGAAAAAGGAACATGATTGGACACTTCCTACTCACCCACTCTCTCGCACACGTTCACGGTGAAGCGAGACTCCCGATGCTGGTTGCCGGCCGAGGCTCTGACGCAGTGCTTCAAGCCGTTTTACGCCATCCCGATGCTGGGAATCGTGATGAAGAAATCCTTGCCCCCGGTTACCCTCCGCGAGCGGACAGCGGCATGAGCAAATTGTGGTACCTGAACGGCCAGCGGTGAACTGGAGCGTGCTTCGCACGTGAACTCGACACTGGTTCCTTCTTGGACGCAGTCCTCAAGCTCACTGATGCCGGCGCATAGCAACGTCAGAGAACCTGACGGTAACGGACAACACACAATCAAAGTATAGTCTGTACAACCATGCCACATTCCAAAGCAGAACACCAACATGTGTAAAAGTGTATAGAAACTTACATGCAATTGTCCCCCATGCAAATGTACACAAAAATGCATTTAAATATCTAAAAATAATACTACGAACTTAGAATGTGTGTATTGAGCAGGGAGTGGTGCTTTCTTGCAGATTTGCCGAGTGAAAGGTGCGACGTGCTCCTCGTGTGCTCCGGATGACAGTCGTGAGTCAGTCAAGTGTCAAGTTTGGCAAGAAGCGTGTGTTCGGACTTCCTAGTTTGAACAATCAACTTCATAAAATTAATAAATGTACACAAATGTTTTGGTCCAAAGCAGAGAGGACTGTTCTGCTCAAAGTGGTAGCACGGTTGGATAGCCTGCAAGTACAGTATGCACAAGAGCATCGTCTTTGATTGACAAGCGACAGGCATTCGGGTAACTGTGAGCTGAGACACACCAGTGAGAGGTGGCCACTACATCATTATTGTAAAGCATCCAACGCCAATGTGCGAACTATGAACTGTGGTTAATTTAAATTGAACTCAGATAATGAGCCAGTATTAAAATGTAAAAATAGAAGGAGAAAACACAGGGCGTTGAATATCTCAGTAGCCTGTCAGGTTGGTGGCCTGTTATTGCACGTTCTGGCTGCTTATTATCTTGTTACAGTCGTGGATAGTTGCTTCACAACTCGTTTCCATGCGATTTCTTTTTCTATTTTACTGTAGTTAGTTAACTTTTTTTTAATGACAGAGGTATAGCTCAGCTGATGGAGTCGTCACCGAAACATTCAGTGTATTGCCGGAGTAGGGTGTTGCTCGAAGGTTTGCCACGTGCAAGGTTCGACATGTTCCGAGTGGGCTCCGATGGCAGACTTTGAGTCGGTTATGTGTCAGTAAGCAATTCCTCGGCAACAAGCTTGAGCTCTTGGTGGGAGCAACGAGCTACTTCTCACTTCGCTAGCACTAGCGACTTCAATCACGTGACCAAAAGGCAGAAATCCTTCGTCGCACAAATGTATGATGCAGGCAATGGCGTGCATGGAACAATTTTTCTCTCGACGTTCTGCCCCTGCCTACACGTTATTCATGTGCCCAGCACCTTCGATTTTTTCATGATGGGCAAGCATACAAGTCATGAATAGCTTTCCAAAGGTGCTTCACATGTTATGAGTCACCGATCTTTTGGTATATCGCTCAATGTTTTTAGTTTTCAAAGCAATTTTCAGCATCTTAGCTACCTTGCCCATCAGTGACCGAGTCACCATCGGGTTTAGAGTCCTTGAATTAGTTTAGATAGGTTCATGGTAAGCTTCTCCTCCGTGGCAGTTTTTAGCAGTTTGAAGAATTTGTGCGCAGCGGCTGAAATCGGCTACGGAGTGCACTATTTGAGGGGCTCTGCGTGACGGAGCGAGCAGACCTTTGGCGTGTAAATCCGCTACTGTTCTCCATATCAAGATTATGGAGGTGCTTGAGCAGGAGGTGGATATTTCAATCCATTGAAGCAGAGCACATCCTGTCTAACATCTAAACGTACGGTGGTGTCTCCATCACCCTCCAAGAACACCAAAAACCCGCATATCGCGCATACATTCACTGTGTATGCATGATATTCATGAGGTCCGAGAAGCCCACTTTTGTGCCATCGCTCTGCATACGATTGCATCATGCCCTCTGACAATTGCGTACGAACTTTGTGGCCTCATAACTCCAGTCTGGGACAGGATATACCCATGAACATTTCCGTGTGGGTTCTGCAGAGGTTTCTCTTTCCAGTCGTGTAATTTGCTGGCCCGAATTCCAATTTTTGAATTTTGCACTTAAGTCGCTACTAGTACATGTTCTACCAAGCACAGCTTCTGTATAATTATACTAGTAGTAGTACTACAAGTACACCTACCTACACAGGTGGAATCCTGATAATTCGAAAATGGCTTAATCCGAACATACCGCTCAATTTGAAGTTTTTCCAGGACCGCGTACATATTGAGTTGTGGTTTCATGTTTGGATAATTAGAATGTCCGGATAATTAGAAGTTTATTCCTGGCATTTTGAGGTTCGAGTTATCAGGATTTAACCTGTAGAACTCTTGTCTCATGCTACGTATGCCCTTAACGACTTAGTATTACCTGATGGGCTGGGTGCAGCCTGACATTGCGGCAGCACTGCGATAGCAGCCACGCCGAGCAGCACAAGTGACTCCATCAGCCTCGGCTGTGCACAGGGACCATTCGACAACATTCTTGCGGCCTGCTCGAAAAAAGAACAACATTGAGTCAGACAAAACCGAGAAAGTCAGTGTCAATCACTTGAACAATTGGAATTGCACAAGGCAGCAACAGTCGAAAAGCCTTACTTCAATGCTTGACTCTTCTTTGCTTCTGAAACTAAAGCAACAAGCATTGTTCATCTAGCCATCAGCCAGCTCGGCAGCATGTCCTCTCCCTGGTTTTAAGGAAAGGCTACCCGAGCACTATTTCGGGCTTCTGGTTCATATTCTTTTGAAGGTTGAATTTCAATTTTGTCCTCGGTTGTTTCTGATAGCATCTAATGGAGCCCTAGGCACATAACACAGCTCTGTTTCTTCTACGTCAATGAGACGATACAGGAGCTACAAAGAAAGCAGCGGCGCCTAATTAGGAGTCCTTGTCGCAGAGTGCGATACTTGAACCCGCCTGGGGTTACGGACTCTTGCAAATATGGCCGTGATTCTTGTGCATGTACGTGTGCATTTGAGTCTGCATGTAGCGCCGGTTTAGCCTTCAAGGGAAACTGAACGCCAAAAATAAGTATGGCTTATCCGAAGGAGAATTGGGCACTGATTCCGATGAGCTATGTCTCGAGCCGATCAGAGAAGAGGAACTGTATCAAATTTCATAAATAACACCTCCCATATTTGGAAATTGGCCTTGATGACGTGCGTACTGCTTAGCTGTCACCATGCTGTGCATGTTCAGCAGTGTAATTGAATGGAAGAAAACAATTACTTTGGTGTTTTGCAGCTCTGTTTCGTTCCCTGACGGTAACCAAATCTAGATGTAGGAATCTGTTGAGCAGGAGAGTGACACATGTCTTCCCGAAGGCTGTCCAGGCTGCAGTGGTGATGAAGAAGATACGATCATCACCCCGAGATCGATCGTAGCGAATTGGAAAACTCATGGTGAATTTGCTTCCACTCCAAGGCAATGTCGAGGTATGAAGGGTGCTTGTACTGCCTTCCAAAGTGAAGAGGAGATGAACATGGCTTTGCATAGCTGTTGTTCTATGCCAACTTACCTACTCTTGGTGGTACCGTAGTGCTATATTGCAAATTTCGTGGACGAACAACTCCAGTCACGAGTGGCTAGTGAGCAACACTAACAGGTGAGATTTTTCAATTCGACAAAAATTGTTTTTGTTTGAGAACTGACAGTGGCAGTCATTAGACTCAGTAGGTGTCTCTCTGCTGCTTCTTTCCCTTCATCGGTAGGGTTGTGCTTGAAGTAAAAGTAAATAGAAAATGTGGAACAAAAATCTGATCATGTAATTCGAATTTGAACTTCAAAGTATGTGTACATCAAATCACAAAAATGACTGTCAAGGTGGTGCTGTGCATTGAAAAAGACTGGGAGCTGGCAGCAATGGAAAGGGTAGAAACGAAACCAGTAATGCAGAGTATTCATAAGGTAGAGGGAGATGAAAACGGGAGAGGAGTAGTGAGCACTTCAGTTTGAAGTAGTGTCAATAGACAGCATCGTGTTGCATACGTTGTGAATATTGTGTGAATCTAATAATTGTCACGAAATTGATATCCAAAATTATTGTCCCCTGAGTAGTATTATGGTGTTCTCCTGCGTTTACATGCAGAGCCTTGACGTTGCTGGACGAGCGACAATATAAATTACATAAACATGTAGCTCGTGATGTGGGATGACTGCCGTATCGCATTGCCAACGCAAACCCATCCTGTGTCAGTGCAGCCATCCAGCAACTTGAACTCCCCGGACCAGATGCCGCTGCAGCTGAACACCATGCCGATGGAAAGCCAGGAGTTGATAGCGAAGCATTCTGGTCTGCACAGTACAAGGCAAAGAACAATTATGAATTATAATGCATTGTAATCTTTCCCACACTTCTTTGTAAAAACAAACAAACAGTGCCATTATGACAACACTTGATCAAGCATCTTGATGGAGGTATTTTCCATTGTGCTGGCTCAGCATCTGCACCAGGAAGACCATGTACACTTACACGTATCTTGTGTGTGTTCGTGCGTGTGTGTTTGTGTATCTGTATGTGCACACGTGTGTGTGTGGGGGGGGGGGGGGGGGGAGGCACGCACATGTGTATGGGTAGGAGTGTGTGTGTGTGTGGGGGGGGGGGGGTACACGCACATGTGTATGGATGTGCGCGCTGCATGCGTGTGTCTGTGGGATGGGGTAAGGGTGCACGCACATGTGTACATGTGTGTGCGCAATACAGCATGTGTGTATGTGTTCGTTGAGCACAGGGTGTACTCCTGATTACATAAACTTCGTGATCATTGTGATTTCATGTGCTTTGAAGTTGAACTTCGCAATACATGTACTGATGCTTGATTAGATTTATGTTCCACATGTTCTATTTATTTTATTTTACTTCAAGCACTTGTACTATTCAAGCACAACCCTACCGATGAAGGGAAAGAAGCAGCAGAGAGACACCTACTGAGTCTAATGACTGCCACTGTCAGTTCTCAAACAAAAACAATTTTTGTCGAATTGAAAAATCTCACCTGTTAGTGTTGCTCACTAGCCACTAGTGACTAGAGTTGTTCGTCCACGAAATTTGCAATATAGCACTACGGTACCACCAAGAGTAGGTAAGTTGGCATAGAACAACAGCTATGCAAAGCCATGTTCATCTCCTCTTCACTTTGGAAGGCAGTACAAGCACCCTTCATACCTCGACATTGCCTTGGAGTGGAAGCAAATTCACCATGAGTTTTCCAATTCGCTACGATCGATCTCGGGGTGATGATCGTGTCTTCTTCATCACCACTGCAGCCTGGACAGCCTTCGGGAAGACATGTGTCACTCTCCTGCTCAACAGATTCCTACATCTAGATTTGGTTACCGTCAGGGAACGAAACAGAGCTGCAAAACACCAAAGTAATTGTTTTCTTCCATTCAATTACACTGCTGAACATGCACAGCATGGTGACAGCTAAGCAGTACGCACGTCATCAGGGCCAATTTCCAAATATGGGAGGTGTTATTTATGAAATTTGACACAGTTCCTCTTCTCTGATCGGCTCGAGACATAGCTCATCGGAATCAGTGCCCAATTCTCCTTCGGATAAGCTATACTTATTTTTGGCGTTCAGTTTCCCTTTCACTTCAGGGTACATTTTGCAGTGTCGTCTCCTGTAACCCCAAGGGAAATCTGTGCCACAGAATGACAACCGATCGCGTATCGGCCGCGGCGCGGAGTACTGTCTCTGAAGGCTATGTTCCAACTCTAAAATAATAATCTTTTTTTCAGGATTACCCAAAGGCTAACGCCTATCTCTGGGGATCTCCTACTTGTGTATGTACTAGTAGCTTAGTTAAGGATGCGAGAGAAAGTGCGCACAGTGAGTATGAAATGTTGGATTTGAAAAGAAATAATAAGAAACACAAGGAAAAAAGTAAGACAGAAAGGAAAAGAACAAGCATGTAAATCAATGATTGCACATCAAAGGTGTGCCAGTGCAGTCGAACTGATACTTAGCAATGTGAATACGTAAATGAAGCTTGAATTCAGATAGGGAATCTAAAGTTGTCAATCGGGGTGGAAGACAATTCCAAAGAGAACCAGTCTTCTGTAGCAAAAGGGATGAAAAAATACGACCATGTGAGTTAAAAATGAGCTTTTTGGGCCTACGGGCACTACATGATAATTATGGTTATTGTAAAGCGAGAGAGATATTCTGGGTGGAAATTGATGTACTTAAATAAAACAACAAGAGAAATAAAGACACGGCGAAATTGCAGAGATTCTAAGTGACACAATCTATTCAAATTGGATTTTGATTCATAGATATCAACGGTTATTTTCGCAGACTTCAGGAGTCGCCGACAAACCTTAGGCTGGAGTAGACCTACATCAAGGGACTCTAACTGAGCGGATGTGATCCTAAATGACCAGACAGGAATGGCATTATTCAATTGCCGGACGCACATAAGACTTATACAAGAGGAGAATATGAGACGATGGTAAATGTCGGCCCATGAAACATAACAGGTTGACTCGTTGCTGAAACTTCCTGAAGATGGTGTGGAAGTGGTCATGGAACTTCAAACCATCACTGAGCTGTACGCCGAGATGCTTAGCAGAACGTCCAAAGGCAATAGGAACGCCGTCCATTAAAAATAGAGGAGGAGTCAGGAATGTCATGATTCGAAAAGATGAAAGTTTTTTCTGGAGAAATTTTCCCATGGATATTCTGAGCCCAATTCTGGCAGCTCACCAGATCCTGCTGGAGGTAGGACATGTTCTCATCTAAGGAGGGGGATAAATTATGAGCATTTAGAATGTTATACTCATGAAGGACACTCTACTTTCCTCTCTCATCTTGAGCTTCCCAAAGCACTTCTTGTCCTACATATATCCCAGTATCCGTATAATGGTTTATCTCCTTTTTTTCTGTCGCCTCCTTTCACCCGTCCACAACCGTGCACCCGTACACTCTCAGGCCATAAACGTTTTTAAAGAAGAGAAACAGTGACATGCACCCCCCCCCCCACGCACACACACGGACAGTATGTATAGGCATATAACGAACGGTCTTTTCCTGTTAGCTCTGTTTGTCCAATACATGAGATAACACGTCTTTCTTGTTGTTTTTCCTTCTTACATGTAGCTGCTTCCAGCATGGTAAACGACAGTATCATGGCCTTTTCAGATTTTCATTGTTCTTATTTGTAGTACATACCAGTATTTTCCACTTGAAATAATATCCACCCCAATGCCTCATTCTTAGCATTCTTTTATTCGCTTCCATGTAATTGGGCTTATTGCCCGTTTGGTATTGCGAATTCAAATAAAAAACAACAACAACAACCGTTCACCCAGGGCAGGAGAGCTCCACTCAAGTAGTATCATGATTTTAGTATCGTCGTCGGCTACAACATCACCAAGGACAGACTTGCCGGGATGCTTTGTTTCCAGCGCGGCTGACATCTCGCACACTTCAGATGTGATGTGAATATGATGTGATGTGATGTGAGTGACACTAGGGACCTTTCGCACCACGCGTATGGATACGAAACGAATGCTGATTCGTCACCTGGGTTCGAGGATTCGTCAGAGTCCCTAGCCCTGCGGAGGGCTCGTTTTCACGAATGGAAGCCTCGTCATTCGTGGCGCGCTCCGAATCCGCCAGGTACACATTTACTTGGCCAGGTACACATGTTTTGCCAGGTACACCTTTATTCCCTTGATTCATCACATGTGCGTGTAAACACCCGTGCGGCCGTATTCGTAGTTGCCATGAACATCTGCATGACGACTTGCGAAACCTGAATCTTTTTTCAACGAAACGATTACGAGCCGAATCAAACTTTCGTTTCGCATTCGATTCGTAGCAAATGCGAAAGGTCCCTACTCCTGAACGTTCACAACCGCCGACCACTGGTACTTAGGCATGATCCACACTTTATTCGGCCGATGCTCCGCCGACACCAACATGAAATCAACCGACTCTGTCGGTTGAGTCGGCCAAAAGTAGCTGTTCACATGCAACGTCGCTTGCACTACATGCTTCAGGGCAAAATGGTGCTGTAGTAATGTTAGCGTGGAAGTCGTCGCGGCACTGGCTTTAACAATGACATGCACAAGCCTTGGTTTGGGGCCTGAAAGCCTCCCAATGCCCTTCACTTCAATAACTTTTGGGTCGACATTTCGAACTAAAGTCCTGATAAGCTGCGGGAGATTCTCACCGGTGCACCATCGGTATCTGGGAGTCCCGAAATGACAGCGTTGTTCCGAATGTCTATTTGCCGGCGCCCTTCCAAAACAAGTTCCCGTACTGTGTTTCAAGTGGCCCCGGTAACCAGTGGTAGGTGCGTTTTCGGAGCCGCAGTTCTGGCGAACGACTCAACTAGAGTGTTGAACTTTCGATTGTGGTGCTCCGGTGACTCAACTCTCTCGTTATTGTATGTCACAGACAGGCAGGCTTTGATTGCAGAGCGCCACTTCTTTAGTGTGCGAAACTGCGAATCAGCTGTACGCGCTTTTGCCAGTTTTGGTGTGGCCCAGGCCTAAGGCGATCTTTCCTGTTTTGGTATCGATACAGAGTGCCAGAGTCATACCCCAGCTATACTTTTGGGTCGACATTTCGAACTAACGTCCTGATAAGCTGCGGGAGATTCTCACCGGTGCACCATCGGTCTCTGGGAGTCCCGAAATGACAGCGTTGTTCCGGATGTCTATTTGCCGGCGCCCTTCCAAAACAAGGTCCCGTACCGTGTTTTAAGTGGGCCCCGGTAAGGGCGCGTTCAGACTACCGATAAAAAGTGACCGATTGGGAAAGTCGCCAAGGTGATTTGATCACGTGACGTTACTGGCACGTTACCGGTGGGAAAGTTTTACTGCCGCGGCTGCTGCGCGCCGCAGTAAACTTTTACCGGCAGTAAAAAAGTGCTCAGGCTGCATGCGCGCTGGGAAAAAAGGGAAAATCCCTTGTCAGTGCCGCGGTGAGAGCTGAAAACTTCACGGTAACGTTAGTGTGTTATCGGTAGTGTGAATGTCCTTCACGGTTTATCGGCATTCACGGTTTGACGGGGTTCACGGTAGTCTGAACGCGCCCTAACCAGTGGTAGGTGCTTTTTCGGAGCCGCAGTTCTGGCGAACGACTCAACTAGAGTGTTGAACTTTCGATTGTGGTGCTCCGGTGACTCAACTCTCTCGTTACTGTGTGTCACAGACAGGCGATAGGCAGGCTTTGATTGCAGAGCGCCACTTCTTTAGTGTGCGAATCAGCTGTACGCGCTTTTGCCAGTTTTGGTGTGGCCCAGGCCTACAGTTGTAAGGCGATTTTTTTTCCTGTTTTGGTATCGATGCAGAGTGCCAGAGTCGTACCCCAGCTATCCATGATCGTGCTCTTGGCACCAATTACGATGTACCGGTACTACAAAACAATTGTAGAATATGTATGACTCTGCCTTTACACCAAAAATGGAAGAATTTGCGACGGCTGGATATGTTGGTTGCGAAACTTAGACCCCCCCCCCCAGTGAGAAACGGCACACATATGCAGCAAGGGGTCCTAATCGGGACTTACTTCATGGCTATAATTACACATATATTGAGCAACCGAAAGGCTTTAGTTTTAGTTCAACAAGCAAAATTGATAGCATCGAGGAGGAGAAGGAGAAAGAGTCAAGCATTGAAGTAAAGCCCTTCGACTGTTGCTGCCCAATGCAGTTCGTATTGTGCAAGTGTGTCTTATTGGCTCTCTTGGTGTTGTCGCCATGTTTTGGTTTTTGCAGGCAAACATGTTGTCGAATGGCCCCCACATACAGCCAAGGCTGATGGCATCACTTGTGCTCCTAGGTATGGCTACTGTAGCGTTTCTGCCGCTAAGTCAATCTGCTCCCGCCCCAGCAGGTAAGAGTTGGCCTGCAATTATGTAACGAGTTACGTGGTAGTAAATTGTCCGTTTTCTCTACTTTCCGGGACTATAATGTGTTGAAACTATTGCTGTGGAGGTGTTCTGGAACCAAGTCTTTGCTACTTTGTTTGTGACACTGGCGTACATGTATGTATCATTGTTATTCACTGCTGTTTCATGTTTTATGATTATTGTCTCATCGTCCCTCTATGTATTGCCATCAGGTAACTTGTCGCTAGTATGTGCAAATGTGGACGAGGTTGAAGATTGCATTCAACAAGACGCCAGTGTTCTCGTCAAGTGTGAAGCTCGCGGTGCTGGGCAGTTGGACGTGGAGTTGCCCTCTTTCGCCCACGCCACCACTAGAGCGCAGAGGGTGACCGGTGGAAAGGACTTCTTGATCACCATCTCCGCCCGCCACGCGGAAAGCCGTGTGAAACACTGCGCCCGTGCCTCAAGCCCGAGTCAGCATCAGGAGTCTTGCTTTACACTGAATGTATGCGAGCCCGTGGGTGAGTAGATAATGTCACTGTGTATATTGGAGATAGTCTGCAGCTCGAGTTTCGGAATATTTATCGACTGAAGCCGAAAATAACTTTTGCTTGTTTCTGTTTAGCTTTCCCGAGTTTGATTGCTTTCTTGACTGCCCCGCCAATTCCCAAGCACCGTACTTGAAAAGTATTCCAAAATTCAAAGGGCAGGTTCTCTCTATTGCTCTTCGTTTGTCTTGGCCTGCTGGAAGCTTATACAGTCTTGAGCGGTATGTCCAATTTTATACGACATATTTGGCATATACAAGGTACAGATTCAGTGCACCACAATGCACTCGAACCTTGCTGATAAGAGGAAAATTGACAATACAATCGTTCACTATGAAAACACCCACGGTTCTCGTGAAACTCGGCTGGAGGCCGAGTATTCCCCTTCCGTAGGAATGCCACCACCCTTCATGGACCAAGGCGCAGATGCAGGTCCTAAAGCGGTGGGAGGTGAGTAGATCAGACTTCCCACAAAGTGGTCAAAGACCGAAAATCCCATTCGCTGCATCCATGCTGTGCTCGTGCCAAGCTACGAGTTCACTTTAGGCAAACTAGTATTCCTCACACTAGGGCTTTATAATGCCGGCAGAAAAATTGGCAGAATTAAGTATATTTTCTGGTAATTTTATGCATGTTTGGTATGTGGATAAAGAAATGGAGCAGAATTCGAGGAATTGCCCGCCATAAGGTTTGTATGGTTCTGCCAAATTCACTGCTTTTCGAGCAGAATCTGCCACCTTTTCGAGCATTATCCGCCAAGGCCTACCTCACACTGCTGAATAATGCTATCATAGGTATTCATTGGATGTACAATGTAGATGAACCCGGAGCATGGTGGTTAAAATCAATGGATGTCTTGTACGGATAAAATTCATAATAAACATAGACTTATTTTTGTTGCGAACAAGATTCAGTCGTCCTGTTTGTTTGTTTTTAGTTTGCAGCAAACAGACGACTTGCAGTGGTGATGATGCAAGTTTTTTTTGTGTTTCAAAATTCATCCAGCCAGTCAGTCAATCAGCTGTCGTTAGAATGTTTGGTCAAGTTTTTTGCTGGTCTGATGGCTTGTTCACATTGTTTGTTTCTCTTTGTGGTTCTATTCTCAGATGGAGCAGCAACATCTTCTGGTGAAGGTTAGTTCGGAAACTCCAAACCATTGTTTGTGTGTTTGTATTTGTACTTATGGATTCTCTGCAGGCCTTAGCCTATATCAAGGGAGTCTCGGGAGTTTTAAAGAAACCGCCGATATTTTTGCAGAAAGTACCAATTTAGCACTGATTTTGGCAAAAATGCTGCTTTGGAGCCTCTTCAAAATGCAAATATAATTTTGTCCTGGTTCGAGTCCTGGTGGTGACTGTCAATTTTTTCTTCAGACTTTTCCCGTTTGTCTCTTTCCCTCAAACCAGTGAATATCTTATGACTTGGGGCTCCCCGCGTGCTAGTTTGTACGTGAAGTGTGTGGGTTACAGGGACGGCTGCGTCCCACACGCCTGTGTGGATTCACAGGAAGTGTGAGCTGCGGGGTCTGAGGAAAGTGTTGAATAGTCTCTGCTGGGATGACGACTACACCATAGGTCAGTGGTTGGAGCATCGCTGGCTGCAAGCGAGGGTCCCTGGTTCGAGTCCTGGATGTGACACTCAATTTTTTCTTCAGACTTTTCCCGTTTGTGTCTTTCCCTCAAGCCAGTGAATATTTTTTGTGAAAATAATTAACAGCCTTCCAACTTGGAAGGTTCATGTTTCACGGAGCAGTTAAATCACATTACAATTTGCAAATTTAACTCTGGGAAATCAGTTTGCAAATTACCTCCCCTGAAATTGTCAGTGAAGTGATGCATATATTTGTGTTTTTTTATTCTACCTCTCTTCTGCATTGCAATGTGCCTAACCAGGCGATCATGGTGACGTCACTCCTGGGCAAGCACGTTTCCTCGCCCGCGGTATGTATTATGATACTCATACTAGGCGTATTCCATGGTTTCCTCGTGTGTTTCAAGATTTAAAAAATAGAAAGTAGATCTACTCGAATGGAGAGCCAAGGATTAATTGATATGAAAAATAGAAGAAGAAAACACATGGAAAGGAGTTATGAAGCAACGATTCACGAATGAACAAGATGATAAGCGGTCAGTACGTGCGATAGCAGGCTACTGAGACATTCAGCGTCGGACCTAAGACCTAGCTCTAACACATCTCCAGTGCGCAAACCAACAGCCTTCCAACTTGGAAGGTTCAAGGTTGGGTAGGACCAAAGAGGGGAAGGTGAGAGCAGCGGAAATGGGCATCAGCTAAGTCATTTTCATGCGTTTTCTTCTTATATTTTACATTTCATACTGGCTCATTATCCGAGATAAATTGATAGGAAAGAAAAAGGACCAAGGAACTACAAGTTACGATATAATGTCCACTAATACCACCAGTTACTTGACAATGAGCTCATGCGATAACATTGCACGACACCGGCCTGACATTCTACAAGTAATAGTAACTGCCAATCAGCTCGAGCATATCTTGGATGCACACTCCAACAGCCTTCCAACTAGGAAAGTTCAAAGTTATAGGAATAGTACCAATTTTAATGCTAGTATTTAATAATATAGGAGGGGGAGGTGCGTGCAACCAAGACAAGCACAAGCTGAAAGTCTCAGCTGTGAAGGACGTTGCCAGTTGTACAGGTATGTGAATGACGTAAATGGCAAAACCATTGGACAATATAGTCAAACCACGATTAAAGACCGCATAGCAACACACCATGCAGTTCAATGCATACAATTGAGAATCGACAATGTGCAGCCTAAATATTTATACCAAAAACTCTGGATACTGCCTGAAAGGTAGTAGATTAAAGGTAGCTATGAATGTCTTTGCAGGTGAAGCGGGGCTTGGCATGGTACTAATGAAAAACCGGAGCTGATTAACATGTATATTATCTTGCCTCAGTACGGAGGTAAAGAGACTTTAATTAACAGATTGCCTTACCTACACGTGCAGCAATTGGTATAGATTTGAACCTCACTCTATGTGTTATCTGTTCTATTATGATTCTCGTTGGCTGACTCATCGCACACGCCGTTGTTAAGACGATCTGATTTTCTGGAAAGGTAAGTACGCTCTTGGAGAAATCCTCTCTGTCTTTGTATGTGCATTACCAAGAATATAATTAAAACCACCACACCACCCCTCCCCCCTTCCAAGAGGGTTTGATCTTTTGCGGGGCATTTTATGCCGATGATGCAACGCAGTTGTTGCCAACGGAATTTGTTGATCTTTTTCTGCGCTTGTTGCCTTTATAGTCCTTTGTGCTAATGGATGAAATCCTGACAGAATTTCCAGTTGATGTCATTCCTATGATGCAATGCGGCACGCTGTGCACGTAATATCAGACGAATCCTGAACCTGTGGTGGAAAAAGCCCTATTTAATCCTTAACAAACTAGTGCGAAGAAGAAACGTGTTGTGCGATGGCACCCCCTTAAAAATGTCGTAAATCACTTCTGCCAGGAACATTGCATCATAAAAATGATGCCAACCTGAAATTCTGTCAGGATTTTATCCATAGTCACAAAGGATGATGAAGACAAGGAGGGTATGCGGAAGTTGCAGACCATTGGGTGGGGTTATGTACTCTTGGCATTACCTAATGGGATGTCTGGCATTATCGATTCACGGCATGAAATAGTACTTCAGGTCATGATCATCTCCTATGCTGCAAATTCTGTTTCTTCCCTATAATCCGGAATTTGGAGAATTTGAAAATGGCCCTATTTCTCCGCACATGGGTTTGGAGAATGAAATACTGCAGTAAAATACCGGTCTTTTCTACATGTATTCCGTGGCTTCGATAAAATCCTTCATTATCTAGACACGGCTAGATCTATCCCATTTTTGAAATCTTTTATTTTAATTTTTATTTTACTAGTATTTGAAACTCGGATGTTGAGCCAATAATATACGTAGAAAGGAAAGGGACATATGAATACGAGTTAAGAGTCTCAGTACTCTGTCAGTTTTGTGCCTAGTTGTTGCACTTTCTGACTCGATATTATTATAGTATCTGGTTACAGTGATGGAGAGTTACTCTTTAACTCGTATCCATATGTCCCTTTCCTTTCTATTATTTTATTTTTATTTTTTAATTACGCAGTTGGGAATAACCGCACTACTAGAGAGGTTTTGCAGAGCAAACATTCGTGCGGATTTTCGTTTGGGGTCACCGTGGAACGAAAGTGCGGGCGAACATTCCAAGCTTTGCACCCCAAAGTTAAAGGAAACTCAAAACAAACTTTCGCAGTAATTTTTGCTGATTGGGGACCAGTGGCGAACCTGTCTCATGCAATGTGTTGTGCTTCATCTTTCATAATCGAGTAGATCTACTCTTGGCTTGGTCCGCTAGTTCTAGTTTTCCCATTTGGCAGCCCATGTTGCTTCATCTCCGGAACCATCTCCGATCGCCTGCTTTAAAAAAAAATTCCATATATGGATACGCCGGATTACGGCACAGGCCAACCCGTTTGGCTGTGGGTCTCTGCCCAGCCATGGACAACGTAGTCTAAGAGCTCTCATCTCTCTGAGTGCCGTCACTCGCAGGAAATAAATTTTCATCCGATTGAAGCTCCGAAGATGAGTTCTCAAACAAGCGCGAGTGCACGCGTACTTATTCTCGGAGTGGAAATCATGCATAACACAAACTCTCGCGCAAACATTCGCGGAAATATTCGCAATCGCGGACGTGAAAATCCATGCGAACGTTCGCTCAGCAAAACCTCTCTATGATTATAGTGATGTTTGCTGTGTTGCAATGTCCCTGCAGACGAGCCCAAGCCTGCCACAAACGCTGACCTATACGTTGGACTGATCGAAGGTATGGTCTCTAGCACTAGAGTAAGAGCAGAACTGTACTACAGTCGACTTTGCGTATTACGACACTCGCGGCCGGGCATCAGAAAAGTGTCCTTATCCGTGAAGTGTCCTTATACCCGAAGTCTCATTATATGCTTTACAATTGGATGGGACTTTGCTCTGGTCATGGACATTCTGTCGTTATTCGCGAATTGTCGTTACATCCGCAGTCGTTATTAGCGAAGTTGACTGTACATCATTTTGTTAAATATCTTTAACCAGTATGAGTAGTGTACATATACTGTGGTCTTAGGGGCTAAGAAACGGGGCAGGTTGCCATAGAGTACTGCCGAGCGCCGAAGAACAGCCAGGCTGGAGTTTCATCAATTTTAGGCTAGAATTTCACCAATTTTTAGGATCAGTCTAGGCTGGATTTTTTTGCGGATAAGAACAGAAACCGTAATGTACACTATACTGTACACTCAGACGTATAACTATGCATAAATGTATATGTAATACGGCATCATCGAAGAAGAAAGAAGCTGGTGTGTTCGCTAGAATAAGAACGGGCTAGGCTAGAACCCTGACCCCCCTCCCCTCCCCCCCTCCCAGTCATTATTTTGGTACCCTACAGTACTATACTGGGACGCGAGACCCCTCTACTACTCTAGCCACAGGAAGAGCAGCTCATGCCCTGTAAGGCAATACATGTTGATACGCTAGTTTGTGACCAAAAACTAATGACAAGCGGGAGAACGTGACACATGTGCAGACAAGCAGTTGAAGACTGCCACATCGCGCAGTTGTGGTGATCCAGTATGCAAACTGTAGAACTACACAACAGTACCGGCATAAATATTTTCATCGACGTTCTTCTCACTGTCTTTGTAGAGAGGACATGTAATGTAGAGAGATTGGCTTTCACCAACAGTACATTAACCGGTTTACCGCAAGAGTTGAAAGTGGCCGAGTCTCTGCTGCTCTTGTTCTGCCCCCCGCTAACACCCGATATGGCTTTCGTACAATTTCTTATTTGGGCGCTGCCAGGTGGAATACACTTCCACCGGCTTGCCGCATGTCTAGTTCACCACCTGAATTTCGCGCATCCATCAAATCATACCTAGGGTTCCCTGTAAAAAGGCGCTGACGCCTGTTGGGAATTCCCTAGTAAAAGAAGAATATATAATAATGATAAATAAAATAAAAGTATTAGGAAATAATTAGAGGCCACATGCCACGTACTGCTCTTTTCTCTCCGAAACTCAACACTTGCAAGCCAGATATGAAAGAAAGAAAGAAAAAAAGAAAAATTTCCTAACACTTTGTGAAATTCTCCGTGAAGTCCAAATAAAAGTATGACGAGTATAACTATATGTTCTCTGCTTTTTGCTCTTTTTCTCCTTATACGATTTTTCTCATGTAAACAGGCGAGAAGAATGCCCAACATGGTACGTACATGTACATGTGCACAATGCTACTTTGAAGTAGAATCTCTGCTGCAGTTGATGTGTTCTGAAATTTGCAGCCCAAGCGGTGCAGCATGTGAAGAGTTCAGATGCAAAACACAACACATCTGTTTCATCTTTTTTTTCCCCCGATATTTTAGTGAGGGTTGTATCTACATCCATATTTGGCCACCATTTTTGAAGTCACAGGGTTGCAGTCAAATTTTAAGTGTGGCGTTTTGCCTGATGGTGCCTCAAGACCTTCTGATTACACAGAGCGCCGATTTTCGTTTCAAGAGCAAAGATGTGCAGCCCGAAAGACGGGCGCTTGCCCCGCGAAATGCAGGGATGCTGCACGGCTTCGGTTCAGAGAATTCCTGTTTTTCCAAAGCGAAGGAAGATGCTGGGAGAATCTTGTTACGTTTATGTTGGTAGTGTCAAAGAATGGTACCGTACTTCCGCACATATAAGCGCATGTGGTTATGTCCGGACATAAGCGCACCCCCAATTATAAGCGCATGTGCTTATATGTGAACACTATTGGCGAAGCATCCGGGAGCTGAATATACTGCTAAGCATTGTGATAACACCGTTGTTTAGGACACAGACAAATCTTTATTGCACATATAAGCGCATGGGCTTCTACCCGAACATGTTCACACAGCAAAAAATCTTTTTTGTAGCAAATTTTCACTTATAAGCCCATGGGCTTATATGTGGGGAAGTACGGTATATCCTTACCATGGTGGACTGGTAGTCATAACTCGTAACTTATCGTTCAATTCTTTTTACTTCTACTGGTTCAACATCAGAGTTTCAAGGAATGATGAAAATAGTGATTTAGAAGGGTGTGAAAAAAGAGAAGAAAACGTCTGCACACAAAAAGTTGAGTGCCACAACCATGACTGAAAGCAGTGAGCTTAGCTTGAGGCCGGAGATGGTCAAAACACTGAGCCATGGTGTGGCTAGCAAACCAGCAGAGAGGCTGTTCAATATCTTCTTCACACCTCAAAACTCGCCCTTGCAGTGATACATACTGCAGTGGCTGGTATGACGCCGTCCTCACTGTATGCACGCATTTCACACACGGGGAACCACAATGAATTTACCAATGGTTGACATATGAATTGATGCTGTTGAAAAGGGAAACGTCTGAAGAAGAAAAAATCAGGGCTCTGGGGCTCAAAGAATGATGAATGGTGTTATTTCTTGTTGAGCGTTTATCAGACGACGGGTCATCAGTTGGATGCCGAAGGTCAATGATTGAGACACGCCATTGGCAAATTTCTGAACTGACTACTTTCCAGGTGACAGGGCAGGAGTAGAGGGGAGGGCATGATTGCAGATGTACTATCACTCTCAAGCCCTATACCAACTTCCACACGTCCACTGATGACAATGCCTAAAGACCTTATGGTATTTTGAATCTGACAATGTGGTTGTTGCTGCTGCTCTTTTTGTTGTTGTTTGATTTTAATTCTTTGTCTCTCTGTGTATCCCTCTCTGTCCCTCTCTCTCTCTCTCTCTCTCTCTCTCTCTCTCTCTCTCTCTCTCTCTCTCTCTCTCTCTCTCTCTCTCTCTCTCTCTCTCTCTCTCTCTCTCTCTCTCTCTATCTATCTATCTATCTATCTATCTATCTATCTATCTGTCTCTCTCTCTCCCTCTCCCCCCTCTCCCTCTCTCTCTATCTCTCTCTCTCTCTCTCTCTCTCTCTCTCTCTCTCTCTCTCTCTCTCTCTCTCTCTCTCTCTCTATCTATCTATCTACCTATCTATCTATCTATCTATCTATCTATCTGTTGCAGATTTTCAGTGTGATGGAGGCCGTAGACTGAGAATTATCAGCAACGTCGGTGCAGGTCGCACTTTCGGAGAAGCCCAACAGGTTTGCCAGGATAGGGGCATGGTCCTGCCACCTTCCAATTTCAATTTCTGCATGAAATTCTTTGCACACCAAAGGCTATTGGACGTGGAGCTGGACGAGCCATTTGCTTGGATTGGAGAGAATCTACATACAGACAATTTACCCACCGGACATGCTTCGGCAAACAACAATGGCCATTTCGTCATGTCTACCCAGCTTCCTGTCACGATGTGTATTAATGTAAGTAAAGTTACATAGGCTGCACGGTGCGGACTAAGCATGGCCGAAAATGCCCAGAATGTAGAATTTCTGTCGATGTGATGTTCTGCACCGCAACACGGGAACGCGACATGTAGAATCCCGGGAACACTCTTCGCACTCACGTAACGTCAAGGAAACCTGTTCTGCTCTACATTAACGTAAAGAAATCAAGTGGAATGTGTATTCCGGATTTCCCATTCTAAATCTGGTAGTTTTCTGTGTGATTTGAATGAAACCTGGCAGATCCGTATGCATTTTTTTGGCTTGTGCCACAATGCGGAGAACCTTATCTCAGCATAATATTATAAATCTGGACCCCAATTACGCAAAGCCGTCGACTCAAACCCCAGCATCCTGCTCTCCACGTGATTTCTCGACGTTTCACGTATAATAACAGAACCTCACTAATATCAACAACCTATTGCTTCGCTTCTGCTTACATAGACGCCAATTCTTTTGAAGTGGTTTGACGTTAGAATTGTTGCTACCATTTGAAAGGTTTGGTCCTAACATTACGTCAGCAAAGTGACCCGGACACAAAGGCTATTAGTAACCATATTACCACGGTCTATACTGTATAATACGCCAAGACTGTACTGAATGCAGAGCTCCAGCCAAATTTCAGGAAGTGAGATTTTTGAGCCCAGAGTAACGACAAGGCCCAGAGGTGCCTTCATGCAAAAGTTCGCATTCCAAATCTGACTAAAACCACTTCAAGGGGGCCAAATATGGATTTAGCTACACACCGTACATGTTAAAATACGTCCTTTTCGGATTATTATTATTATTATTCACACATATCCGCCGGATGAGTACGCGTGGCCCATGCACCATGGGGGCCCACGAATACAAACCAGCATATGTTCCCTCAGCAATACAAGCAAGCAAGCACGCAAAGATAAATGAGAGCCCAGGCAGCGGAAACAAAACGAAGAGAGATGAGGACATAGGCAACGAAAACAATTCCAAAGCATAACCAGGGATTGAATGTGTGCATCTGGGTACGACAGTTAACACGGCTAGTGCATGTGTTTTCGGATTACTATGTGAAACATGATTAAATTGACATCTCACGCTTTGCATCAAAACTCTTCATAATTATGACGTAGTCGCTGGTCCACATTTGCAGGAGGCAGCAGCACGCTAGTAGCCTTTATACTAGCCGTGAGACACACTTCTCTAAAAAATTAGTCGATATCATGTAATTAGGCAAATTTGCCTGTTTGTTCTTCGACTTAAAAAAAAAGAAGAAAAAGGAAAAAAAGATCACATCCGTGAATAGACACACAGAACCTGCACCAAGTTCTTCCGACCGCCAACCTATCCCAATGTCCCAACCCTGGCCATCCCAATGTCCCAACCCTGGCCATCCCAATGTCCCAACCCTGGCCATCCCAATGTCCCAACCCTGGCCATCCCAATGTCCCAACCCTGGCCATCCCAATGTCCCAACCCTGGCCATCCCAATGTCCCAACCCTGGCCATCCCAATTCCCAACCCTGGCCATCCCAATTCCCAACCCTGGCCATCCCAATGTCCCAATCCTGGCCATCCCAATGTCCCAACCCTGGCCATCCCAATGTCCCAACCCTGGCCATCCCAATGTCCCAACCCTGGCCATCCCAATGTCCCAACCCTGGCCATCCCAATGTCCCAACCCTGCCCATCCCAATTCCCAACCCTGGCCATCCCAATGTCCCAACCCTGGCCATCCCAATGTCCCAACCCTGGCCATCCCAATGTCCCAACCCTGGCCATCCCAATGTCCCAACCCTGCCCATCCCAATGTCCCAACCCTGGCGGAGCCAACAGAGGACAACAACTACAGTAAGACCATTATGCACACATTGCACAGATCACATACACAGCATTCCCTCACTAGTGGGACTATTGTTATTAGGCTAGGGCCTGTTTTGGACTTCCCACTCTAGATAAAGAATACAAAAAAACAAACAATCGGGTGTAAGCGACCTCTGGTATTCGCGACCACCTGTTTTTGACGACCGTTTCTCCATGCATGGACAGTTCTACACAGAAACTGCACTGGATACAGCGACCACCTGTTTTTGACGACCGTTTTTCCATGCACGGACAGTTCTACACATAAACTGCACTGGATACAGCGACCACCAGTTGTTGCAGAAATAAACACACACACACACACACACACACACACACATCTAGCGAAAGACGTAGAGCAGTCAGTACTCACAACCTGTGCTGGTACAGTGGATATCGGATATGACGACCCTGCATATAACGACAGGTTGAGTTTAGCGACACAATTCTGTTGCCCAAGTCGTTTAGTAAGTCCTTTGTGAAGATCGGGTTTAGTGACAGATCGAATATAGTGACATTTTGTTCTCTCCCGAAGGAGTGTTGTTATATCCAATCTCCACTGTATATCAAAAAGGAACACAATGGTATTGCTGATTGCTGGAATTCAACCAAAGGGGTTTGTATTTGTGTTTATGGATTCTCCACAGGCCTTAGCCTTTATCGAGGGAGTTCTTCTGCTTGTCTGTTTATATCGTGTTTTCATGCAGACACGTGCATAAACCAGTGTTGTATAAGAAGAAAGGCTGCCGATCCACCCGATCCATAATGGTAAACAAGCTGGTGACCTGCTTCCTCTTACAACTTGGACGGAATGACAGTACATGACATGATTCCATTGCCTGTTCTGTGCTCCAGATCGCTGTCTTTCCCGTTTCCCGCATGGATTCTCTTCGTTTAACCTCTCCTTGCATATACATAATTATATACCAATCGTTATTGCGTCTAACTTGAAGGTTGCGGCCCGTGGGTGGATGGGTGGGTGGGTGGGGGTTGGGGGGGGGGGGGGGGGGAGGTAGAGGGGGCAATGACCTCATGTATTGTTACTTTGCCAGATCAACCTGAAAAGAGTCATTACTCATGCAAGTGACACAAGCCACACAGCTTAGTGACAGCTATCCAACAATTACAAAGAATCACATTGCATGTTTCCAAATGCATCTCAGATATTACAGAAAGCCTGTAGCACACGACAAAGCTGTACAGAGCACCACACATCATTCATTGCAACTAATAGGGTGTAAGATACCTGTATTCGAATGAGCATTGAGTACTGTACCGAGCCGGAGGACTTTCATTTTTTTAACCTGTAACTAGCGACCACCCTGACTAATGACCACCCTGACTAGCGACCACCCTGACTAATGACCACCCTGACTAGCGACCACCGTGACTAACGACCAGACTGGCACTAGTGACCACTTCGTTAGACACCGACGGTCTCGCATTCAAAATACAATGTGACCAGTGAGAAGCGACAGTGTGCAGTTGTGCCCTTGAGAAGCCTAGCAGCAAATACCAGCGGCATTTTTTGCCACATGGTCAAATGCCATCCTGACTCAAAACTGGAACAATTTTGCAAAATCTTGGACAGTAACCTAACTAGGCGTAACTAAGATGTTACTATGCAGTTGCTATGACAACTGCCTGCAATACATACTGTTAGGTACCTCCTCCCGTACCTTTTCTAGCTGGCCTGCATGCACTTACGTACTCACCTTTTGTCTCCTTTTGTTCCGTTGGCCTGGGTAGCTACTTGCGCGCCCATATTTGCCATAGCTACCCAGGCCCTTTATCTTGCCGTTCAGACTTGATCTCTCTCTCTCTCTCTCTCTTTTCTCACTCGTCAATAATCACCATGTAGTCGTTTCGTTCGTCTTGGTCTCTTGTCTCGTCGTCTTTAATAAATGTCGTTCCCCCAACCTACCTGTTCCCGTTGTAATGTCTGGATAATGTGTCGTCAGTCGTCCTGTTTCGAACTCAACAATACTATAGAGTGATGCCTTCTTCAATACCTTGCATCCTGATATGATCACTCAAATCAATTTGCTATGACCTAGTAGGTGACTTCTACACAAGTCCGTTTAGGTGGTGCGGAAGAGGTTATTATTATTATTATTTATTCTTCTTTTACTAGGGAATTCCCAACAGGCGTCAGCGCCTTTTTACAGGGAACCCTAGGTATAATTTGTTGGATGAGCGAAATTCAGCTGGTGAACTAGACATGCGGCAAGCCGGTGGAAGTGTATTCCACCTGGCAGCGCCCAAATAAGAAATTGCACTAAAGCCATATCGGGTGTTAGCGGGGGGCAGAACAAGAGCAGCAGAGACTTGGCCACGGGTGGTGGCTGCAGTGCGAGCACCATGGGCGCGCAAGGTAAAGCGGTCTCGCAGAAGAGGACTAGCAAGTCCATTCAGGCAGCGGTAAACAAATACATAGGTTTTGAAGTTGAGACGTTTCTCAAGGGCGTACAAGTTAGTATGACTGTATAGAAGAGTGGTGGGAGTCATTCTATCCAACGAAAATATTCTCTTTAATGCTACGCGGCTGGCAGTAAGAAGCTTGTCATATAGGGTTTGTGATAAGCAATGAATATATGCAGTGCTGCCAAACTCAAATGTGGACTGAATGATCGATAAATAGAAAAGTCGTTTGCCAAAAATGCTGATATTCTGCTTTGCATGGACAAATGCTCCGACCTTCCTATTGACAGTTGCACATACTGCATCCACTTGGGTTGAGAAAGACAGATGTTCGTCAACCAGTATTCCTAAGTACCGAGCGTAAGCAGATGGGGCTATGGAAGTGCCCCGGCAGTTGACTGCGGTGCCAGGTGGCAGCTCCTTGCCCGGTCGCCTGAGCAGGACAAACTGAGTCTTGGAAGGGTTTAACACCAGTCCCTTCTGATCTAGGTAGCGATACAGAGCGGCAAGGTCAGCACTCAGCTGGGTTGTGATGATCTGGATGGACTTGTGCCTGATATAGAGTGTGATATCATCGGCATAAAGTTGATTCAATGCATGTTGGAAGCACTGTGGTGCATCACGGGTGTAAATGCAAAATAGCAGTGGGCCGAGCACGGAGCCTTGTGGGACGCCTCTTGTGCAAGGGCGGGCCCCACCTAGCTCTTGTCCTACTCTTACTCGCTGGACGCGTCTGGTCAGGTAGCTTGCAAACCAAGCAAGTGCAGTGTCAGCAATGCCAAGCATCTTCAACTCGTCAATGAGCTCTTGATGCTTAACTCGGTCAAAAGCTTTGCTCATATCTGCAAACACTATGCCGCAGTACTCGTTGTTATCAAGGGCTTGGAGCCATTCGTCGACCACTAGCGCTAGGCAGTCCTCACACGAGCTGTTGGTACGGTAGGCAAACTGATTGTCAGGCACGTACATGATGTTGTGTAACTTAAAGAATGCAATCAGCTGCTCCAAGACAACTCGTTCTAATATCTTGCTGCATATGGGCAATAATGAGACTGGTCTGTAATTAGTAGAGCTTTCTGCATCGCCTGATTTGAAAACTGGGCTGACTGTGGCATTCTTGAAAATATCTGGTACACACCCTGTGCTCAGAGATTTATTGATAATATCAGTGAGAGAAACTGCTATGGAATCACGACCATGCTTCAGTACGGCTGGTAAGACATTGTCAGAGCCAGGTGACTTACTTGTGTTTGTTGCTTTGAGCAGTGTGGTGATGTGCGCCACAGTTACGGGTCGAAAATGGGACAGTCGAGCAGCAGTAGTTGGCTGTTGGGTGGCTGGGCGTAAACATATGTCAGCAGGCCGGCTTGGATCGTGCACTATGTTAGCAAATGTCTCTGTCAGACTACTGAGAGATGCAATTGGCTGATTTCTTACTTTCCGCCTGCCAGACAGACTGTTAAGAAGAGCCCACTGACCTCTAGGATTTCGTCGGAGTGCCGAGAACTGGTGCATCAGGAAACGGGATTTAAGTCTCCTACTCAGAAGCGTCCCCTCGCGTCTGACAGAACGATACTGTTGCTTAAGAACCATATTCCCAGGCTGCGAAAGGACTCTTCGATGCAGAGTAGTTCTGCGCTGCAGCAGTTTCCGTAACTCTGGTGTTGCCCACGGTTGAGGCTTAGGTTTGGGACAGAGGGGTAGTCTAACTTGTTTAGATGGAGCATGCGTATCAGTAGGAACAAGAGCTGAGTCTGTTCACCATGTGGCTCCTGGAATCCTGGGCTAATACCCATTCCCCACTAGCCGCACCGCTTCAGGCGTGGGAGTTCAGTTGCCAGCACTTTACTTGTAGCGGTCTATCTCTTTCTCTCTCTCTCTCTCAAAAGCAAAAGCAAAAACAATGTGAATCAACATTTTTATATAAAAAACACACACCATTAGACGGCAAAAAGCAGATGGTGACTTCCGAGCATTGCATAGAAAGATTATTGATCGGTTTGGGCGGTGGCATGCTTGTGGCATGTAGAGACATGCTTGCGCAGAGAGCTTGAATGCGTATAGACTTTGTCGCAGCCAGGCTGTTTGCAAACGCTTCGCCGCTCGCCAGTGTGGACAACCGTATGTTTCTTGCGGTCAGAGGAGTTTGTAAATTTCTTCTTACAGCCGGGGTAGGGGCACCCGAAAGGTCTCTCGCCGGTGTGAAGTCGCATGTGGATTTTCCAATTTTCTGACCTGGCAAAGCGTTTGTTACACGCTGAGCATATAAACGGCTGCTCGCCCGTATGTACGCGAACATGGTTGATCAGTATGTACCTTGCTCTGAATGGGCCGTTCTCTTTCTTACAATTGGACCAGCGACAGGCAAAATGTCGACTAGATATGGCATTCACATGCTGGTTCACATGCTCCACGAAATCACCCATACTGTCGAATAGCTCGCCACATAGAGTCACATGGTCCGTTCTCCAACTGCACCGCATTTCAACCTGGCCAGGGTTGGGACTGGGAACGAAGTCACCTTGCGCATCACCATTTCCGTCCACAACAAAAGGTTCTTCAGCAAGGTGGCCATCCTCTGATCCGCCGCCGTATGTTGCAGCATTGCTGGCCGGTGATTCATACCCGAGTGTGGGTTGGTCTCCTTCAGAATCACTGTGACCATAGTTGGCGGTAGCATATCCGGTACTGTAACTGAGTGATGATGCTGCTGCTGCTGCTTGCGGAACAGGAAGCTGGCGGCTGTCTCCAGGTGCTGGTGGTGCCCCTGCACTGTGTGGGAGGTTAGCAGCTGTTGCTGCTCTTTCGGCTTCTTCCACACTCTGGTTAGGGTATACCGTTATGACTTGGACCAAGGGAACAGGATCCGGCAGTGAATACTGCTGCGGGTGCACCGTGCTGGTGGCACTGCACTGTTGAAGGTACACGCTGCTGTTGGCACTATGCTGCTGCACTGTACCTGGTGGCGACTGTTCCTGCTCCAAACAGGCGGCAAAGGGAATGAAAGCAGGTGGTTGCGGCAAGCTAGCGGCACGGTACTGCAAGGGAGTGAACGTATATTGGGGGAAGTAGGAATCACTGAACTGCTGCTGATCCAAGCTGCCGGTGGTACTGTGCTGCTGACCAGCACTTACCAGGGTTGACATGGTAACAGGGGTTCTGTTCCTAATTCCAGGATCTGGATAAGGTCGCGAAGCAGAAGCAACCGGAGCAGAGGCAACAGGACCAGCTGCAACAGGTCCAGAAGCAACAGAACCAGTAGCAGTCGGTTTAACGCACATTGCTGCTGGTACTAAAGGTGAAAGAGAGCTAACCACTCTGCTTTGCTGTCCTTCGCCCGATCCTGTTTTCAAAGAAAGAGACTGCCATAGCTCCTCCTGACGTTGTGCCGTCGAATTGCTAGACGTGTGTTCCTTGCTACTACTAGTACAGTGGCCGTGGGCAGGGTATGATGATGACATACTCGCTACTGTACGGTAAACTACACCTGGAAAGAAAAAAGGCT